AATTTATCTTTGATTAGCTGATTTATAATTGTAAAATAATTACAACAGAAAGAAATATAAATTTTAACTGATCTAAACAACATAGTGTAAATTTAATTAAAATGTCTAATATTGTAATATATGATAAGTTAGTATAAAATCTATTTAAACAAAGTTAAGAAAAAAATGTTGTGATATATATCAAATCTAAAAAAATAATAAGTTGTATATAAAATCTAATTATAGAATATTGTAATATATAAATTACCATATGTAAAATCTAAAATACAAGTTAAAAATTAAGTTAAAGATAGAGATGTGAACTAAATATTAAAATATTGAATAGGTAATATAAATAATCTATAAGTTATATTAAATTTATAAATATTTATCAGGTTAAAGTAATCTATAGACTAGTATTAGAAGCTAGTTATAATTTACCAAATTTATAACTGATTATAATCAGTTTTAATATAACTAATATTAAAATTTTAAAATTATAAATTTTGTTATATTTATAATTGATTTTATTTATAACAGTTTTATTTATAACCAATTTAAACCAGTATTATAATCAATTTTATTTATATTTATATTAAAATCAAATTTATTTAAAATCAGTTTTAATATAATCAGATTTATTATAATTGAATTTAAATTATAATTAGTTTTATTTGTTACCAAATTAAATCTATAACCAAAATATTCAATTTTTATAAAAATTAGCTCTATATACAAACCAATATCAAACTTATCTTTTACAACTTCTTATCAAATTTATTATAAAATTTATTGAACCATTATATATATTACAAGAAGAAGATTTTTCTAAATTTATAAAATTATAAACTAGGATTTCAAATTCTGTATACTAAAACTGCTAAATGCTTTATTTACCAAACATATTTAATCAACTTAATAAGCTAATTTCAAATACAGCAACTTGTATTCACTTAACTACAGATCTTTAAACTACAAAAGTAAACATAGTTATATTGGTGTTATAGATACTTGGCTTATAGAAAATTATACTTTTAAAGAAGTTCTTTTAGCTAGTAGTAACTTACCATATTCTCATTTGGGAAAAGTTATTAGTACAAAGCTTTTTTTAAGTATTTGAAAATAGAATTTAAGTTCATTAGTATATTTAGAAATGGATCAAGTTTAGTATAAAGGACTCTACTAATAAAATTAATTATTAATCAATTGAATTTAGTGTAAGGTTCCTTATATTAAACTTAATCCTTAGAAACTACTAATAGTACTATTAACATGATTAAAGGAATAGATATACTTAAATCACAATTATCTGGAGTTCAAGAATAGCATGCATTACCTATACTTTGAAACTAACAGTTTAAGAAGGATTAAAACAATGCAAAACAGTATATAATTGAATAAAAATTTTGCAAACTTTTTTTAAACTCTCTAAACAAAGACTTTATGAAGTACAATTACAAATTAAAGATAATATTACTATTATATCTAATAATCAAAATAATAATTGCAATTTTGATCAAACATTTTAGGTGATACTAAAACCAGATGAAATTCAATATACCTTGCTTGAAAACAGGTTTTAGAATTATATACAGCAATGAAATTAGTTTCTACAATATTACTTTCAAAAAAAGATTGTGCTTCTCAATTAGGAGAAAAACTTGACAGATTATGTTTAACAGTAGATAAAAAATTTTGGTAAAAATATAATTGATTTATTAACTTATTTTAAATTAGTAACTCACCATATATATGGAGCAAAATATTCTACACTTAATTTAGTTTATCTGTGTATAAAAATACTTAAAAAAAATTTCAACCACAGCCTAAAAAATATGAAACATTTGATTCTTATTTAACTTTAATTTATAGCAAGTTAAATGAAAATTTATCTAATCAATTTAATATAGAGGAAATATCTGATACTGATGATTCAAGCTCTAATAGTAAAGATGAAAATATATCATCAGCAGGTAAATGCCAATATTGGCAATTTTCTCACCATTAATTTAAGCAAATGATGTATAAAAATATAGCAAAGGTTGAAATCAAAATCAAAAAATAAAAAAAAGTAAAGATAAATGTAAAAATAAAAATAGTACAAGTCAACAATCATAAAAGAAATTAGTTAAATCAGATAATATAATGAAATTGAATATTTACCACCATCTGATACTTCAGATCTTCTTAAAGGTTATAAAATAATTTAAAAACAATAATACTTTTATTAAATATTGCAAGCATCTATCTATTAATTAAACTCTCTAGTATTATTAAGTTCAAAGTATAGCACGTGGATATAGATTTTCTAATATTAAAAAATTATCTAGATCAGTCGGTAATTTATCATATTCTTTCATATAAAAATATGGTAACCCACATTGGCATAATGTAAATGTATTTTTTGGAGTTATTTACTTAAATATTCAAGTGAATTTTATAATTCCGTCATTACAGTAAATTGCTCCGCTGTATCCTAGTGCAAATAAATTTTTTGGATCAAAAGTTACGATTTTTCTAAATCTATGCAAGACCATTAATCGTATAATAAGTGGCTCGACGGATTTTAACCAAATTCATTATTTGGTTCTATTTCGAGAGATTATTTAATCTGCAAGCAAGTCAATATATTTTTCAAATATTCTGTGGATTGCGCCACAAATTCTTAATGCAATTGCATTATTTGACTCAATTCTTAATGATTTATTTGAATTTTCGAATGATTATTCGTAATTTCCTACCATGTAATAAGTTCTTGCATGATTTCTTAAAAAATCTGTGTTATCTGGATCAATTTCTAATGATTTATTCAAATCTACAAGTGATTTTTCATATAACTTCATATAAGGCCACACAAAGTTAATTTTTCGTTTTGCATTTCCTGCCGACACATTTTTTTAATTTTCAAATTTTTTTTTTTAGGTTCCAATTGTGCCAATTGTTCTATTTTTGCCATTTAATTTTTCCCCATAAATTAATCCAGTACCACCCGATAGAGACCTTATTTTTCCAGAATTGTCCGATAGAACTTATAAAAAAAAATTCGATTGCTGACCCAATTTTCTGATTCCATGTTATGCAAAACGAAAAATTAACTATGCATGCCTTAAATATGAATATGGGTCTATTAATCACTGTAATTTTTTTTTAAAAAAAAAATCCGACCGACCGACCGTTGATTTTGAAATCCATGTAATGCAAAACGAAAAATTAACTTTGCGTGGCCTAATATTAAGTTATTCCATGTTGTTGTAATGTGAATGCATTATTTGGTTCAGTTTTTAGTACTATTTAAACAGTATTTTAAAATTTAAATTGTTAATTCTAATGAAGACGTAGTGTGAATCACTGACCCCATGATCAACGAAGTCACTGGGCCGGGTGACTCTTCATAACCCAATAAAGTGAAAAAAAAACTTTTTTTAATTTATATATATGGTATATTACTGCACAAATGAGTAAAAAACCTCTATCGCTATTGTCACGGGTTAATCAATGACTTTCGTCAAAGAAAAACCTAACCCGGATGGTAGGCACTAATAATTAGGCACCACCGAACAAAACTCAACAAGGCAAGTGTTTTTATTTATTGTACTATTACTTTATTAAGGATTTATTTTATTAATTACAAGAGCGAAACTAACCTATTATTAAAATCTCTTCGGCTATATACATACTTCGGGTCACATTACTTACATCATAATTTGCTCATATACGATCATACGATCGTTTGACTCTTATATTACTCTTAAATTACTTCATATTTCATGCATACTATTTCGATTGCATAATTGATCATTTATCTGATCTCATAATCCCCGATCGATCATGTGCATCACGTGCACAAGTTGTTGATCGATCGATTGCTTATTCCCTTATATACTCATACCAGTTTATCGCATACTGTATTTCACCATGACACTATAAATATAAAAACCCCAAAGCAAAGTCATAAGAGAGACAGTATCGCAGGATTTCATCTTAAAGTTTAGAACCGGTATTACGATCAATTCGTAATATTAGTATTAGTACGCGTATAGGTTTCCTAAATTGGTAACCAATACTATGTATTAATAGTTATTTATCTAATATATTAAAATACAACCGTGTGTAACAGTTGCTTTTTTCCGGATCAGCTGAATAACGAAAAACTCGCTCAACCGGACAAAAGCATAGCAGACACGTGTACGTGTCTGCTAATCATTTGTCCGGATGAGCCAAATTGCTGTTATTCAATAAAATTTTAATAAGTATTATACTTTCTATAATTTTAATAAGTTTATCTTTTCCCGAAGTATCACGAGGGTTAAAGAGCTAGTTAATTAATATTGTAATTACCTTAATTCTGATCATACGATGCCTCTTCAATGATACTTACACATGTTTATAAGTGTTAGTTTCCCTGATGTTAGTATGCCCTTTGAACTCTTCTCCTAATACTGTAATAAAGAGTATTCTCATAAAATTGTCCTTATAAATGAATTGTCTATCTAAATATTATTTAATGATGCTTCCCAACTAAATTAACACCGGCTCTCATATATTAAAGCCGTGTTTAAATTGCTTTAATATATAAAAAATAGAACCGATTCCAAAATCTATTTCACGCCATGTGATGATCAATGGTAAATTAACCAATAGTGAATCAAACATAACGCGATCAGGAAAGTTCTAAACATTCGTTTGAAAGAATCGTCAATTTTTTTGAAAATTTGCATAAGAAGTAATCTTTAGGGAAGGGCATTTAAAAGAGCTTCACTGTATTTTCGAGTATTTATAACATAAAAAATAATCCTTTTTCAAGATTTTTTTGTAGCGCATATTCTATTTTTATTAAAAAACGATTGATGGTTAATATAACCTACTAGCAATTTTAAGTTACAATTTTTTTAAAAAAATTCAATATCGCAACCTGATTTGCTTAGTTATTGACTTGCCCTAAGCTCTCTGTTGAAAAAAAGATCAACTATAATCAATTTTCTAGTTACTAAGAGATGAACAATATACAAATTAAAGAAATCCTAATAATCTCGTTTATAACCAAGATGTAATAAGGTGGAGTTAAATAAAGGTAATCTCATAGCAAATTTGCCAGGAGTAATATCTGATAAATCTTCAGAAGTTTTAAACTGTATGATAATTGGTGGATTAATTGAATAACTAGTGATGTTACCTGAATGTATAAGTTTGAGCAACTCAAAATCAATACCAACAGTTGGATTATCTATGTTAAGTTTTTTTACCAGTTTTCGAGCACCCGAAGAAGAAACAGCATAACCATGCGTACATAGTGGATTTCCCGTTTTTCGCAATTCAAAACCAAATACATTGGCAACAGTCATTTCGATTTTAGATTCGCCACAATGCCCAACATATAATACATCCCAATCATTAGGTAAATGAGGATAAATGTCAGTTAAAATATTAGTGATGTTAAGTTCCATGTCTATATCATCCTCTAAAATCAAAGCATTTTCATATTCATTATCAATAATTAATTGATATATTAAATAATGGCTTAAATAACAAGATTTTACACCTAAATCTAATCCACCCTTAACTCTGCTAATCGCTATATTGTCATATTTATTAACAGCTTTATAATAATCAAATTGTAAACCAAGATGTCTTTCTAGGACTTCCGTTCTTCTGCGTCTATCTATTCTGTATTCGAGATTAACAAGAAAAATGTGATCAAATCCAAGTGTACAGTTCAAGCACTTAGGCTTTACGGATTTTAAGCTGATGATATCATTGTCATAAGAAAAATTTTGGTAAAGGAAAATTCCGGAGAATATAAATAGAAAAGTAATATATAAATTAATGAATAGTTTTGACTTCGAAACGATCATCGTATATATGACCCGTTGTTTAGGACCCTAGGGTTTTTGTGTATTTTTGTTTTATGTTATACCTGATTCTAAAATTCAATTTACCAGATCGTAAGTTTATGACGTTACCGTTGTTTGAGTTTTAATATTTCAGAAAGCACGGACTTGTTGTCTATCCGTATGAAAATCCTAAAATCGTTATTGTGTGATTACAACGGTGATTTGGTCATATAATTATGCTAGCATTCTTATGTGCCCTACTTCACACATAAATGTCGCAACAAACCAGCCACACCCAAGTTACGTCCTTTAAATAATTTTAACAGACTAATATTGAGGCTTAACTATCTGCGATTACACTAACTAAGCCTTAGAGTTAATATTAATATATGGATCCGGATTTAACAATTAATGTGTCTGCGTATTGATGATCAAATCTGGATATAAATGATTAAATCCGGATTCATGTATTAACTCTACTAAGCCTTTTAGACATTGTGACTAGTGTTGTTAGTCGAAATAATTTTGACATTGTTATTTTTTTAAAAATTACTATTAAAAAATTAATTTAGACATTTAGACAATTTACCCTGTAAGAAATGTGGACCGGGGTGTGGCACGCATTGGCGTCGGGAATGTTCGGAATGGCACGTCCGCGATGGCACGCTCATGCACGATGGATGTAATGGCACGTCTCGTAGTGACACGTATAGGCACGTTTTCCACACCGGGAATGGTACGTATTAGCACGTGTATGGTGTTGGCACGTGTTCAAAATGACACGTATAGAACTGTCACGTAATAGCACGTGTTCGAAATAGCACGTATAGGACTGTTTCATGTAATAGCACGTATACGATTGACACAATTTAGCACGTATTGGGTAATGGCACGTATTGAAATAGCACGTATAGAACTGTTTCACGTAATGGCACTTTTTTGCCTGCACGTTTAGGCACATATACGGTTGGCACGGATTGGCACGTTTGAAGTAATGATATCATACCTGAGTAAAAAAGTAATACAGTACAATTTTATATTTATTGATAACTAAAAATAGGCAATTTTTATAACGTTTATTAAGAGATTCAAAATATATAAATAAAGTTGCAACTTCACTACAATGTATGTAGAAAAATTTTATTTATTCTAATAACTAAGTTAGGTAAAAAATAATATGATTCTGAAAAGCGTTACATTAAATGCTATTTATTTATAACATAAAAATATTTCCCTACCCTAAGAAAACTTACACATCTTCGTATCATTGACACATCAACAAATTCGTAGTCACCAAATTCCTCAAAACAATATATTCCATATGGCCCTTTACGTGCATTTTTTACATTCTTAATATATGCAAGCAATTGGTACTTTCCACAAAAAATATGACAAAAAGTAATATTGTACTTGTCCAAAAAATTGCTGTAGCTCATATCTCTCAGGATCCTTTGACTTAGCAGTATTGACTTCTAACTCGTACTTAAGAAAAATAATAATTTTATTAAGGATTATAAAATAAGAAATGAATATTTTAAAGAATTACTATACCATTACACATGCATTATTCCGAGTATTAGCTGCTACCATTGTCATAGAAGAACCATGCATATAGCCTTCTTTTGTTCGTAATTTTGAATATTTTACTCCCCAATCAGGTAACTATGTATAATAGATTAGCATTACAGTATTAAATAGTATAAATATATATTTTAAAAATAGCTTACCTCAGTAATTCGTTCATTTAAATTGGCCTGATAAAAATTTGATAATGCTACAAATTCATTATCATTCAAAGTATAATTTAAACTAGGT